CAGACGCATTTTGAAGCAGCCCACCCAACGCAGCCCCTCACTTATCTGCTTCCGCTCCTCCTCCTGGCCTGACTCTCCAAACTGCGTCCTTGGGGAAATGCCGCCCTTTTGATCTCCGTGGGTTATTCCAATGCAGAGGGCGTTCAGTTCCAGACCTGAAGGGTGACTACATTTTGGGGTTTTTTTGGGGGGCGCCGGGGGTGTCCCAGCAATTTCTATCCAACCAGTGAGCCTGGTCTCTTTTAAGATTTAGAGTTCTGGTGCATACTTTTCTCCTGCTCTATCCAGAACCTGCTAGTGATCTTTTGAAGGGCACTGGGTCGTGGTAGCTGGGCACCATCTAGTTCTCCTGATCTCAAGGGTTTAGAGACAGATGTTCACACGGTCCAATAGTCCATTAGACTCATTGCTCCTGTGTGTCTGATTTTTACCACTCTCCTTTCCCCCGGTTGCGGAGAGACCAATGGTGGTTCCTTTAAATTGCTGCTCACAGCTTTTCAGATCCCCATTGCTACAGTGATCAAGTTCTAAAATAGTCACTCCCATTACTACTGGAAAATGCATACATTGGCACAACGTCTTTAAATCCGTTTCATAATTCAAATGGAGGACCTTAACATATCTCTATCTTCTCTCCTCAGAATTATGCTCCTGGAAATCCAGCATAGGGAAATAGGCTTTTAAATCCACTGACAAGCCCTTAAGTATAAGACTTGTAGTAGCACAGGAAAGTGCTTATGTTACAGTATTCATAGAACTGCATGGCAAGCTGTGTGCACCGCCGGTGTGGCTGTCAAAGACCAGAGGGGACCCGGAGGGACATCCTCAAGAAACTGAAATGGATAGACTATCCAGTGCTTTAACCTGTAGGAGATGGCATCCACACTCCGCAGTCAATGAGGAAAAGAACTGGTGATTGTTTTCTTCCCCAAAAAGCATGGCTGTCGAATGGATTCTGACTCAACGTGGCCCAGTGTGTTACGGCTCCATAAAAACGCTCTCAGCTCCATAGATCAGCTCCATAGAATAAGGTGACCAGACGTCCCGCTTTTGGCGGAACAGTCCTGATTTTTGGCGTTTTAAAAAAGTCCGGATTTTTGGAAAGAATGCACGACAAGCTAGGAAATGGTCTATTTGGTCCATATAGACCAAAATTTTCCCCTTGCAGAGGGGTCTCGGGGAGGAGATGAGCCAGTCAGGGTGCGATGTAACAATGATGAAAAATACAACTTTCCTCTAGTTCCTAAATG